AGATGATGCAGCGCGGCTCTGCACAGCGGCACAGACACGCCCGGTGCCCAGCAGCTGGTATCATTGCCGTTTGAATCTTCCCTTTGTTCTTGCAGTCGGCGGTGGTCAATAATGTTTTGTCCCCTCGCATCGTACGCTGTTTTCACGTGTATTCGTCAGTGTTAACATCTGTGTAACAGGCTGTCGTTACTAACGGAGCCCCGTTTTGAGCAATGACCCTACGGCCAAAGTGACGAAGAATACCGAGGTGAAAAACAATGGGCCTTTCTTGCCCTGCCACGTACTTTGCATTAACGCTTTAGGCTACCGTTTCAGGAGGGTATTCCTGGGTCAAAGGGCATGGTCCTGAAATGTACCATCCAGTTATTTTCCAGGAGAGATAAGCACATCACACAACTGCCCCGCAGAGCCGGGTGATCATTTCCCCCAAAACTTCATTTAGGCCAAATCGAGCCCCAGAGGCGTCTGGTACCTGTTTCTGATGATGAAATACTTCACGGGGTCAGCCCTGTCCGCAGTGGGGGTGGCATAGCAGTGCCTCAGCAGCAGCTTGAACTGGGCGGTGTCCCCTCTCTCCAGGAGGGCGCCCACGTACAGCATGGACTCCACGGGCAGTGCGGCCGACGCCCCCTCGTAAGGCAGCGTGTAGTTCGGGTCTTGGAAGAGGGCCATCATGACGGTAAACTCTCCCTCGCCAGCCAGGCTGATGTTCACGGAGCTAGACCAGGGCCCACAGGGTGGAGGCGTTAGGTTTTGACCCATAAGAACAAAATCAATCCGGCCCCACTTCTGTGTGAGGTTACGGAGGCAAAAGCACATCGTCGGTCCCCGCAAACACTAGTCGATCGTTCCTTTAAACCAGAGTTTACTATCTTCTAGGCCAGGGGTCCTCAAACTACGGCCCTCGGGCCATATGCAAATACAAATATTGTATTTGTTCCCGTTTTGTTTTTTTACTTCAAAATAAGATATGTGCAGTGTGCATAGGAATTTGTTCATAGTTTTTTTTTAAACTATAGTCCGGCCCTCCAACGGTCTGAGGGACAGTGAACTGGCCCCCTGTTTAAAAAGTTTGAGGACCCTGTTCTAGGTGCTGGGAATGTGGTGGGAACATGTTTCCTGCTGTCCAGGAGCCTACGTTCTTGTGGGAGAGACAGACAGTACACCAGGAGACACTCACACACACACACACACACACACACACACACACACACACACACGCTCGGCATGAAGACAGCAGCCGGGTAACAGTCTGGTTCCAGTTCCAGTGTGTGTGGTTTTTCCACACCGCCAAGCAATTCTCGGGCCCCAGGTGGGGAGCGGTGGGCTGGTCCCAGGGGTGGGCCGGCTGGCTCAGACCCTGCGACCACTCAGGCCTGGCGAGGAGCTCCAGTCTTCTAGGTGCAGTTGGCAGGCACTGTAGGAATTCGTGCAGGGAAGTGGCGTGTGTTCTGTGCTTTTCTAAGAAGGCCTGGTTGTTCTGTGAAGCAGAGAGCGTCGGGGCAGGAGGGAAAGCTGGTCACCAGCCGTTAGGTTGGGCGAGGGACGAGGCGATGGCGGCATGGAGCAGGGATGGAGGAGAGGGAAGGGACTCGGGAAGCCTTTGGACTGAGAGTAAACAGGATTGGCGATGGGGCTGGGGGTGGGAGGGAGTGGATAGTAATGTATCTTAGTGCGGTACGCAGATGAGGTGACGTGGAGATGGTCACTTAGAGCCCCCACATCCCATTTTGTCCAAGTTAAAAGTCATTGCACAGACTCTTTATTAAAGTGGGGCTGAGTTTTTTCAAAGCAAATGCAATCCAGACACTTAAAGCATGCTGCCTCTTCTATTTATTTGGCTGCAATGAGTGAAAAGAAATTTGCATAGAAGATGGCATTTGAACTAAACAAATAATTTCAGCCAAAAGCATAAGGTGAATGTGGCCTAAAATAGTTAAGTTTGCTAAGAGTTATTTCTTTTCTACAGAGAGACCAAGTTCCCTGTAACTTACACACAATCAGAAAATAGACCTGCATTTTAAAAATCATATTTAGTAACTTTGTATGTTTGGTCTCCCGAGACGTTCTTCATTGTGAAGGCGCTGCCTTCCAAATGGCACACAGGTCAAAGGTCCTGGGGCGGGCTCTGATCTTCCCCTTTGCCAGCCGGCCTCACCTCTCTTTCATCTAATTTACAGAGTCATTCCAGGTGACGTGGGGTCCACCTGTCCATCCTAGCCCCTCATCAAGGGACCTGGCCTCCGTGCCCTGGTCCTCTCCTGCGGGAGGCGGAGGGAGAGGGAAGCCCAGACGAGATCTCTACGTGGCTGTGGCTGAGCTGCTGGCCCCCGAGGGGAGGAGAGAGTAGAACAGGTGTAGCTCCCAACTCCCACCTGTCCTCATCCACTGCCACTAGTTCATCTTCTACACATTAGGCCAGGGGTCCTCAAACTACGGCCCGCGCGGGCCACATGCAAATACAAATATTGTATTTGTTCCCGTTTTGTTTTTTTACTTCAAAATAAGATATGTGCAGTGTGCATAGGAATTTGTTCATAGTATTTTTTTAAACTATAGCCTGGCCCTCCAACGGTCTGAGGGACAGTGAACTGGCCCCCTGTTTAAAAAGTTTGAGGACCCCTGCATTAGGCTTTAGAGCAGGGGTGGGGAACCTTTTTCCTGCCAAGGGCCATTTGGATATTTAAAACATCATTCACGAGCCATACAGAATTATCAAATTAAAAATTAGGCTGCTGTATTTGGCCAAACATTTAATTAACTCACCCCTAATGCTCTTGCGGGCCTTAAATGGCCCCTGGGCCAGATGTTCCCCACCTCTGCTTCAGAGTAAGATTTGGCTTAAATTTAATGGTGCAACAAGTTTTTAAATATTTAAATTTACTCATCTAGGGAGTAGCACACTTCCCCACTGAGGTGGTCCATCCACATAATTCTGTCATTTCTGAATCCCCAATATGAACGGAGCCTCACCAGCCAGTGGGTGAGACTCATACCCACAGCACAGCCTGAAGCTCCATGTTCCAGCCCCCACCCACTGCCACCCCAGCAGACACTTGCAAGACTCCCCCAGGGGCCTTCTCTTTGTGACACTTACGTCCCAGAGGCCCCAGAGCTGGTGGGTTCTAAGTTCGGTGGGTTCCTGGCTTCTGCTGGTGTTGACCTCTGCTGGCCTCACCCTGTTTTGGATTTGAGTTCTCCTCACTCTCTCTGGTTTGGGGGAAAATGTTTCACACTCTCCTCATACCCATCTGGCAGAGAATCGCAGCTCAGCAGAGCTGATGGGGTCTCCCAGGGATGCAGGAGCGAGGGGACCATTGACTTGAGCTGGGGTGTGGCGGGGGGGCAGGGCAGGGAGACGTTCAGGCCTTTGACACTGGGATCCTGCTGCTGCGTCCGGTGCACCTGTTAGACTTGCCCCTCATCTGGTGGTTTTCATTCCCAGGCTCTGTTGCCTGGTTTCATCCATCACACCATTTCCCACTCAGTCCATCGAAGCAGGGTTCGAGTTGTTTCCCAAAGGACCTCTGGACTCCATCAAACTCGGGGTTGCGCTGGGCACAGCTCTAAGTGCCTGACAGTGAGGGGGCTGCCCCCCGCCCCGCCCAGTGTGCCCAGACACCTTCCGGGAAGGTGTTGCTTAATGCCACTGGCTGACCTGGGTCTGGGTTCTGGCGGCCATGTAGCTTATTAAGAGAGACGCATGCTTAGGAAACAGAGAGGAGAGATTATGTAAGTACACGTGGGAAATAAACTTAACTCACAGACATTCTGCTCTGCCGATGGCTTTCGCCCGCTTTCTGTAGGGCCTCTTCCAAGTGAGACCTTACAGAGCCCCAAAGTCCGAAACAGGGGGCACCTGGGTGTGGGAGCAGACTTTCCTGCTCTCCCAGCCTCCCCCTCTGTTGGGGGCTAGGAATTCTCGGAGCGGAAATCAGAAATCACCAGCCTGTGCCGTAGAGAAGAGATGCGGGAGAGAAGACGTGCATTGCCTGTTGTCACCTCCTCCAAAGCCTAGCCAGGTAGCCCCTGGCTCCCGGGGTCAGCCTCCCCGCCACTGCTCTTAGATGCAAAGCAAACGTGTGCAGAGGCCTCAGCCCCTCCTGGGTGTAATCTGCCCTCTCCGGCCCCCCAGCCCAGGCTTTACCGGCCACCAGTCATCTTTCTGATTCACGTCTGACTGTCACTTCTGACGCTCCCTCTCTGGCTCACCATCCCCCATAGGATGCGGGCCTTGGGCACACGGCTCTTTCCTCCGCCTGTGCCTGCACCCCTGTGGGCCCTCTCTACTCCCCAGAAACACCTGCTGCTGGGTTCTCCCACCCCCTTCAGCACCCCACCTCCCAGCCACCGCACACTCCTGCTTCAGCCCTGGATTCAGGCTACAGGTCCCCCATAAAACCTCCCATTTCCTGCTTCTCAGCCCCACCCCCACCTCCCCTCCCTGCTCCAGAGTTGGGGTTCAGCTTCCTCTGGTACACCTTGAACTTTGGTCTACTTACTTGTCTCCTCCACTTGAATGGGAACTCCTTGGGGGCAGAGGTGTTTGGGGGAGAGGCCTTCTTCACGTTCCCAAGCTCCCAGCAGATGCCTGACCCGAAAGGCAGTCACCTTTTGAATGAATGAATCCTCGTTACCACAAATGCATCCGTCCCAATGCAGATGCCAGTTAGTAAATACATCGGCTCCAAGTTAATAAAAGCGGAGATCGTTGCTCAAAGCCTCGAGCTTTTCAGTGCTACGTCTAGCGAAGCCGGTGCCCGGGTTTAAAGGCAGGTTCTGTGTGTCGAGGCCCCTGGAGCTCCCGCTGTTCTGTGGGAGTCTTTCCACCCGAGTGGACGGCCTGCGCTTGTGTGAACAGCGCCAGGGTTTGGCATTGGCCGTGCTCACCACGCGGGGGCAGGTGTGGTCATGGGAGGGGCGTGTGTGTGAGGTGTGCGTGTGACAGGTGGCTGGCTCTTTGAATGATCTGCTCACTTGTGAACATTGTCTTTCTGCAGGTGATGTGTCACCAATCAGTATGTCTCCCATCAGTCAATCTCAGTTCATTCCACTCGGGGAAATCCTTTGCTTGGCCATCTCAGCAATGAACTCGGCACGAAAACCAGTCACCCAAGAGGCCCTGATGGAGCACCTGACCACGTGCTTCCCAGGTAATGGGAGACGCAGGGAGCACTCGCCACTCGGACTCGAGCTCTGGCTGCGCCCGGACTGCGCACGGACGCGGCCTCTCGTGTTTGAATCTAACGGGGGAAATCGTTGCCAAAAGTGACCAGGAACTTTTCTTAGTTTAGTAATTAAACATTAAGGCACCTGGGTTACTTCAAAAATAATTTGCCTTCTTCAGCTGTAATACTTTTTTAATTGGCACTGAGCGAAAGAAATTAAATTGGGATCCGTGAGGAATTCTGGCAAAAACTCCCGAGATTCCATTCAACCTTTGCAACACAACCTCCTTTAAATACATGAACATCATGAGTCCTGGGAGCTAGTCAGAAACAACTGAAAATTTTAGTCCTAAGGGATTAAACTACAGAGAGAGAGAGAGAGAGAGAGAGAGAGAGAGAGAGAGAGAGAGAGAGAGAGAGATATCACGATAAATGTATCCAGGATATTTATGTCATGTCCTGATGAGTTTTAAGAACATGGCATTTGGTAAATTAGTTAAGATCTCATTATGACAGAAAAAATGAAATGTTTTCTCTTAACTGTTAGAATAAGACAGTGGCCCACCTGCTGTGTGGACGGCCTTGGCTGCCCCCAGTGCTGGAAGCTCTTAGGAATGGGGAGGAGCTAAAGACCTTGGGCCCATCTCCAGGAGGCAGCCCACTTCTCAGCCCCACTATGTTATCCCCTCTCCTCCAAAAAGTACGGCCCTGCCAGAGTTGCCAAACCTCCTGCTTCTTCAAGAGAATCTGGAAATGCAGTTTTATGGGGCATCTCTACGTCATCCTAAGTATTGGCAGTCGTGTGCGGGTAGATTTTACCCTGGGTGTGCCGATGACATGCAAGCCAAGGAAAACACATTATTGGGCCATCAGTTTGTCAGCTTGGCTTGGATGCAACCACTACCTCGATGGAAATAGAGCTTACTCACGTTAAGCACAGACGCTTCACATCTTTTTCATTCAACTGACAAGAGACCTTAGTAAATACAGGGTGTCCCCCAAAAACGTATACGCACTTTGAATGCTCATAAAGTCAGTGTTTATTAACATGCAGTTCGTTTTCAACATTTAAAAGAACCTTCAGAAATGAATCATTTTTTTGTCAGTGCCTGTTTTCAAACTCATGACCGTCTGGTCCAGGCATTGCTGATAACTCGAAGCAGTGGAATCGCAAGCATCAACAATCACTTCATCCGATACTTGTGTGCCCTCAATTCGTCAACTGTGCTGGTTTTGTACCGTAAACTTTATCTTTTATGTGTCCCCATAAAAAAAAAGTCTAGTGGCACTTTAGGATAAATTTTCTTTGTTCAAAGCTTAGTCTGCCTTCTTATTTCAAATCAGTTATACCCGAAAAGGAGTGAAAATTAAGTGAGTTATCAGCTGTTAAAGTGTGTATACATTTTTTGGGACACCCTATATAAGCTGTTGGTTGTATCAGTTAGTGTTTGCTGCAAAAAAGCTGGGTAACAAACAATCACGGAACATCAGTGGCATTCAGCGATAAACATTTATTTAGCTCCAGGAGTCAGCTGATTCAGACGGGTCGCAGCCAGGTGGCTCCTCTCCACCTGCCCCCCATCCTCTCAAGCAGAGTCCTGTTCTGTCTACTGGGGTGGCAGATGCCCAGCCAGTTGCACAAGGGTTCGTCAGCCCTTTGGTGATGTCACACCCAGTCACACGTCTTTGGCCAAACTCAAAGTCCAGGCGTGGGAAATGCACATGACCATGGGGGAGGGCAGAAGGACTGCTTCCAAACGAAGCAGGGATTGGCCAGATTGAGTCTCCCCACTTTTCCTGGTGATGTGTTCCCCTCTGTCAGTTTCTCAGTTAATGTATGTGAAATGATATGTATTGTTTAAAAACTCTAACACAGTGGTTCTCAACCTTCCTAATGCCGCGACCCTTTAATACAGTTCCTCATGTTGTGGTGACCCCCAACCATAAAATTATGTTCGTTGCTACTTCATAACTGTAATTTTGCTACTGTTATGAATTGTAATGTAAATATCTGATATGCAGGTTGTATTTTCATTGTTACAAATTGAACATAATTAAAGCATAGTGATTAATCATAAAAACAATATGTAATTATATATGTGTTTTCCGATGGTCTTAGGCGACCCCTGTGAAAGGGTCGTTCGACCCCCAAAGGGGTTGAGACCCACAGGTTGAGAACCGCTGCTCTAACAGGATCCCACCCTGGGAACCTATGAATTGTCTTAAATTTTATACCATTTTCCCATCTCTGATTGTCTCTCCTTGTTAACTTCCAGCCAAACCCATTTCCTTTCAGTAGGAAGATGGGAGAGGGGTTAGGTTGGGTGGAAAGCTGGTCTTTGTTGTTTAAGCCTCAAAACCTGAATTCCTGATGAACTTCGGGGGTAGAATCGGAAAGTGATGGGACAAGCAGATGTTAACAGTATCCATCACAAACATACCTCTTTCAGGTGACAGGTGACCCCCATGGATTTCTAGTGGGACCCTGGATTTCATAGATAATTCAAAATGGCTGTCATTATACTTGGGGGGCTTACAAATAAGATCATCATCATCAATACCAGTGGTTTTCAGGGAAGGCTTATGAACTGCACAGGTAGAAGGCTGGGAAATGACTGAACAGGGAATGTTTCTAAGGTTGTTTTTTTAATTAAACATTCTTTGATCGATATACTTCCAGATACAAAACATAAACACTTTAGATGTAAAGTCTCTATGGAAACGCTTTCTTATTCCTTCACTTGGGAACAGTCAGGGAGCTTATTCCTCATGGTAAGGAATGATCACAGTGTACTCACGATTCTGTATAGTTTTGTAAGGGTTCTGAGATCATCACGGGAAGGCCTACAATCAGCAAATTCTAGAATACAGGTAAATTTTTGTTGTGTAGTAATAGCCATTTTTATGAATTGGGCCTTTTTCTTTAACATAACAGCATAGTAAACTCAATCGTGAAGCCTTAAAAATGAACCTTACCATTTTTTTTGGAAAAACTTATTTGTATTTTAATTTTTTTGTTTTCATTGATGAGAGAGAGAGAGAAAGAGAGATGGGGGGAGGGGGATTTGTTGTTCCACTTACTTATGAATTCATTGGTTGATGCTCTATGTGTCCTGACTGGTGATTAAACCCACAACCTTGGGGTATTGGGATGATGCTCTAACCACCTGAGCTACCCAGCCAGGGCTGCTTCTTTCTGTTTTAGTATTGACTGCACGGGTGCTGCTGTGTGAGAGACCCTGTTTTACATGTGGGTTTGTCCTCTGGATGACTGTGCTGCACAGCTCCTGGGGTGTCATTCGTGAGACTGCAGTGTAAGTGGGGTCTATTCTCAGGAGCCGAATTCTGCGTGAAGTTGTTCTGACTGTTAATGGGGCGTAGCAGCTCTTTATAAGTTGCTTTCTCGTGTACAAGCAGTTTTTGTTTTATGCGGGTGCTCAAGAATTGCATAGATAAGGTTTGGGTTCTATCACTAATTCACCTGGAATTTGTTTTTATTTTGTGCAGAAACTCTCATGAAATTTAGGGGAAACATTGCGATTATCCCGGCCTTGGAATCATTTGCATGAAAACCAGTGTGCGTTTCCCAAGAGTAGAGCCTAGATTGAAAGTAAGCATGTGGGCCCACAATGAGACAATTCTATGAAATAATACCTTCTTCGTAGGCACTGTTACCTTGTCCACCTGGTCACTATGGATGCCTCCTGAAGGCAGTAACGAAACAGGTGTGTGTACTACATCTCATTCATGGCCTCTCTCCCCTTGAGAACCCCAGGCCATTACCTAATGCTTTCGTATCCCACCTTCACCGTTTGGAAGGATTCGGGGGAGCTTACCCTTCTCAGCTTACCTGGATGTTCTGGGTTGCTATACAGTGTCCTTTGAAGGTAATCTAGGTTTCCATGCGTCTTGACCCAAAGTTGAGACTACTCATAGCTAATATGTATCGAGAACTCACTATATGTCAGGTACTGTTGTACGTACATTACACTCATTTAATCTCACAACTCTGTGAGCATAGGTGCTGTTACGATCCACATTTTGATGGCAGTAAATAGAGGCTCAGAGAGGTGAAGTTGCCTAAGAAGATACCAATCGTATTGGTTTTGTAGAGCAGCTGCAACATGGTACAGGAGGCTTAAACGACAGAAATGTATTGTCTTACAGTTCTGGAGGCTCGGAGTCCAACACCAGGTGTCGGTAGAGTTGGCTGGTTCCCTCTGAAGGTGAGGGACAAATCTGCTCCAGGACCGGACCGTGTCCTTGGCTGGCAGACAGCTGTCTTCTCCTGGGGTCTCCTGCCACTGTCCTCTCTATGCGTGTCTCTATGTCCAAACTTCTCCTCTAAAGATGGCACTTGGCATGTTGGATGAGGGCCCACCTAGTGACCTCATGTTAACTTGATTATCTCTAGAAAGACCCCCATCTGCAAGTAAGGTCGCATTCTGAGGTCCTGGGAGGTAGGACTTCAGTATATGAATGGCAGAGGGTGGGGGGGGCATGATTCAACCAGTCGCATCGAAGAACAGTGATGGATTTCTAGCCAGCAGCCTGGCCCTGGAGCCCAAGCGCTCAGTCTCCACTGAAATTGCCATTTCCGTGGGTCAGACACGGTTGAATATCGGCAGTATGATCCAAGCTGACCTGCTTCCAGATTACCGTCATGCACCTGATAGGATATTTGGTCAACGACAGACCGTGTATAGGATAGTGGTCCCATAAGGTTACAGTGGAGCTGAATTTCCTGTAGGAAATGGAAGGCCATGTGGTTCAGAAGGAATTTTTCTCTCTGACGGGATTAGTATCTATGGGGCTTGGCAACCAGTTCCCTCTCACTCACAGCACCTCAATTCCGAGGGCACAGCTTACATCCCAGACCGACAGCCACTGACCTGTTTCAGCAAGAGGAGCCCGTCCCTGAGCCCTGTGTGTTCAGGGGGATACAGCCCTCCACACCTAGTCAGACGGTCCTCAGAACGTTGCTGTGCATCCTTTGTCAAGGACCTGAGGTCCTGTACAGGGACACAGGTCCCCGGGAGCTACCTGAACAGGTGTGAAGTGCCGCGGCCCCTTTATAAAAGCTCTCTGTGGTTGTGTGGGGCCAGCCTGTCCCTGGACTATGGAAATATTTCCAGGTTGTAATGATATAAAGCATAGGTAAGTTGTCTTTCTTCCATCAGTTCAATGCCAGAGCGAGCCTTTTGTGCCAGATGGGGTCAATGAAACCGAAGACGAATTCCACAAGTGCAAATATTGAGTCCTCAGTTCTGCGCCCCCTCCATGTTAAACACCCGCTTTTTTTATGAACACGCAAAGTTTCTTAATCTGATCACTACCCCAGCATGCGCTAGCCAAGCCACCTGGCCACGACAGGCCCGTGTTCCTTTATCTTTCTATCCTGATTTCTATTCCGACTGATCCTCGGGCCACCTTTCATTCCCTCCTGCCCGTCACTATGGTGACCTACGCCCTACCCAGCCAGCTTCTCCTCGATGTTTCCAATCAGTCCGGCCCACCCCCCTGGGCACGGAGCAGCATCGACAGCCTCGGGGTTCTATTTCTGACCCTGTTGGGAGGAAGCAGGGGAGGGCTCATGGGACAGTGGTATAGAGTCCACAGTGGTCTCCAGTCATGTCCTAGGCCTTCACATTCACTCACCACTGACTCACTGACTCACCCAGAGCAACGTCGAGTCCTGCAAGCTCCATGCATGGGAAGTGTCCTGTGCAGGTGCACCATTTTATAAAAAATAGCTTTTTATTTCCCAGTTACAGTTGACATACACTATTATATTAGTGTCAGGTGTATAACCCAGTGATCAGACATTATATAACTTACTACGTGGTCACCCCAATCAATTGAGTACCCACCTGACCCCACACATTCTATTTCCGTGTTATTGACTGTGTTCCCTGTGCTGTGCTTTACACCCCGCGACTATTCTGTAACTACCACTTTGTACTTCTCAGTCCCTTCACCTTTTTCACCCATTCTCCCAACTCCCTCCCACCTTTCACCCAATCCCCCAACCCCCTCCCATTTTTTTAATCTGTTACACCACATTTTACTGTGCCTTCTCTATGTTTAGATAGACAGATACTATCATTATGTTCCAGCTGTCTGCAGTAGTCAGTACCGTAACATGCTATACAGGCTTATAGCCCAGGAGCAATAGGCTACATACACCATGCAGCCTAGGTGTGTAGTGGGCTGTACCACCGAGGTGTGTATAAGTGCACTCGGAGATGTTCATACGATGGCGAAACCGCCTGAGAATCCATTTCTCAGACTGTGTCCCTGTAGTCAAGTGACGCATGACAGCTTAGCATTAAGGTCAGTCTTGTGAATATCATCACCCTCCGTGTGCCTGGCAATGAGGAGTGGAGAACAGCCAAGAAATAACGCAAATGCACTACAGCCTGGAGAATGTGTACTTTAAGTATGTATTCTCCTCATTCTGCCTCTGAAGGTAGAACTGGACATAAAACGCACACAAAACCCTTTGAAAACAGTTATTGTACAAAGGAGTGTCTATCATTTCCTTCTGAGATCTCTATTCTAACAAACATGGCAGCTTGGGACCAGCGACCGGACAGACGTAGGAGGTCTAAGCCTTCACGAGTGGACTTCTTCGGGCTCCCTGGTTACGAAGTAGGAAACCCACCTCCGTGCTGCTGACTTAGGCCGAGAAGAAGGCTCTGACCCGAATTCCCCCCGGGCTCGCGCCACGTCCCACATTGAAGGAGATGATTGGAAAACGAGAGAGCTACGTAATTAACAGTGGTCAAGGCCGTGTGCCCTTTTATGTAATTTATAAAATTCAGTTTGTCCAGTAAACTTAATCTTGAAAAAAAGTATAGAATACCTCCACATATATATGGGAGCCTCTATCTATCTTAGATTTGTTTTCAATACCAAGATGGCTATTTTAACTCTGTCCCCTCGTTGCTTTTATTGAAAAAAAATCTTTTGTTCATTTTCTATCAGATCATGTAAAACATTTTTCATGTCTCCCCTCATTTAAAAATATTCTGCCTTTACCGATTCGGTTCGGTAAAGCTTTTTAACCACAGTAGCAACCTAACCTCATCTAAGCCTCCCCCGCCCCCCCTCCAGCTCTTGTATTTTCCCATCCTATCGGTGGTAATACTCATGCGGGTCATCAGAGAAAACCAGGATTCCCACTAAACTTAATGAACACCTTTGAAAACTCTTTACCTGCTATAGATAATCCTTGGAAGCTTGGCCAGATTAATAGGGTTTTGTCTTAGTCCGTTTGGGCTGCTGTAACAAAAGGCCATAGACTCGCTGGCTTTGACGACAGACATTTGTTTCTCACAGTTCTGGAGGCTGAGAAGTAGGTCCAAGTTCAAGGCACCCACACATTTGCTGTCTAGTGAGGACCCTCTTCTTCACATTACAGAGAGAGGGCTCTGGTCTCTTCCCCTAATGCAGTGGTTCTCAACCTTCCTAATGCCGCGACCCTTTAATACAGTTCCTCATGTTGTGGTGACCCCCAACCATAAAATTATTTCCGTTGCTACTTCATAACTGTAATTTTGCTACTGTTATGAATCGTCATGTAAATATCTGATATGCAGGATGTATTTTCATTGTTACAAACTGAACATAATTAAAGCATAGTGATTAGTCACAAAAACAATATGTAATTATATATGTGTTTTCCGATGGTCTTAGGCAATCCCTGTGAAAGGGTCGTTCGACCCCCAAAGGGGTCACGACCCACAGGTTGGCGACCCACAGGTTGAGAACTGCTGCCCTAATGTCACATCCTGAGGGCTCCATCCTCATGATCTCCCCTAAACCTAAGGCCCCACCTCCTAATACCATCATGTTGGGGTTTGGGGCTTGACTCTATGAATCATGGGGGGACACAGCAGACTAAAACATCAGGAATCACATTTGCAATAGCACGGATGGACCTGGAGAGGATTATGCTAAGCAAAATAAGCCAGTCAGAGAAAGATGAGTATCACATGATCTCACTCATGTGGAATCTAATGAACAAAATAGATCCAGAGACATAGAAGCATGGAACAGACTGTGGAATCTCAGAGGGAAGGTGGGGAAGGGTGGGTGGGAAGGTGGGAAGAGATCAACCAAAGAACCTGTATGCATGTGTGTATAACCCACGGACACGGGCAACAGGGTGGTGAAGGCCTGGGGTAGGGGGTGGGGTCGGGCTAGACGAGGTCAATGGGGGAAGAAAGGGAACATAGGTAATACTTTCAACAATAGCGATTTTTAAAATAAATAAGTAATAAAAAATCGGGAGTCCACCACATGCTTCCTCTCCCTTCTCACGAGTGTGTTCTCTCGCTCTCAGGCGTCCCCACCCCGAGCCAGGAGATCCTGCGGCACACCCTGAACACGCTGGTGCGCGAGAGGAAGATCTACCCGACCCCCGAGGGCTACTTCATCGTGACCCCGCAGACGTACTTCATCACCCCGTCCCTCATAAGGACTAACAGCAAGTGGTACCACTTGGACGAGCGGATACCCGACCGGTCTCAGTGCACCTCTCCCCAGCCCGGAACCATCACGCCCTCTGCCTCAGGCTGCGTCAGGGAAAGGACCTTGCCCAGAAACCACTGCGACTCTTGCCACTGCTGCCGGGAGGACATGCACAGCATGCATGCGTCCACCCTGCAGCGGAAGCCTGCCAAGGACTGCAAAGACCCGTACTGCCCGCCCTCCCTCTGCCAGTTGCCACCCACCGAGAAGAGCAAAAGTACTGTCAACTTCTCCTACAAGACGGAAACCCTCTCCAAGCCTAAAGACGGGGAAAAGCAGTCCAAGAAGTTTGGGCTCAAGCTCTTCCGGCTGAGTTTTAAGAAAGACAAGACCAAGCAGCTGGCCAATTTCTCCGCCCAGTTCCCTCCCGAGGAGTGGCCCCTGCGAGACGAGGACACGCCCACGACCATCCCCCGGGAGGTGGAGATGGAGATCATCCGGCGCATCAACCCCGACCTGACGGTGGAGAACGTCATGAGGCACACGGCGCTGATGAAGAAGCTGGAGGAGGAGAAGGCGCATCGGAGCAAAGCGGGCTCCTCCGCCCATCACAGCGGGAGGAGTAAAAAGAGCCGGACCCATCGGAAGTCGCACGGCAAGTCGCGCTCACACAGCAAGACGCGCGCGTCTAAAGGAGACCCGTCGGACGGCTCTCACCTGGACGTCCCCGGGGAGCGGGAGTACGACTTCTGCGACCCCCTGACCAGGGTGCCCAGGGAGGGCTGCTTCATCATCGAGCACAAAGGCGAGAACTTCATCATGCACAGCAACCCCAGCGTGCTGGAGCCCCACTTCCCCATGACGCCGGAGTGGGACGTGTCGGGGGAACTGGCCAAAAGGAGGACTGAGATGCCCTTTCCCGAACCTTCCAGGGGCAGCTCCCACTCGAAAGTGCACCGAAGCCACAGCCATACCCAGGACCGACGGTCCAGGAACGAGAGGTCCAGCAAAGCCAAGGAGAGGTCCAGGTCCATGGACAATTCCAAGGGTCCCCTGGGCGCGTCCTCTCTGGGGACGCCTGATGACCTGGCCGAAGGCTGCAGCCAGGAGGACCCAACCCCCATCCAGCCCTACATTGACGACAGCACGCTAAGGCCCGCCCCGACGGCCGGTCATCAAAGGGCTCACCTTCTGTCCCCGAGCTATAAAGAGGTGTGTATTCCGGAAATAGTCGGCGGCAGCAAGGAGCCGTCCAGCGCGTGCGGCCTCCTGGAGCCAGGCAAACCCCCCGAGAGTTTGCCGTCCTTCGGTGACCTCAATTCTTGTCCAACGAAAACAGCAACGGACGACTATTTCCAGTGCAACACGTCCAGCGAGACGGTGCTCACGGCGCCATCGCCTCTGGGAAAGAATAAAGAGGACCAGGACCCTCTGGCCCTGGCCGAAGGGGTGAAGAAGCTGCCTCTGTCGGACAGGCAGACCCCGCTTTCCTCCAGGGAGCTGGGACACAAGGAGGAGTCGCCCACAGGGCCAGGCGGGGGCCCGGCTGCTCCGGGCGCAGCGGCGGAAGGGATGGCCAATGGACGCCTCATCCAGCATCACGGCACCGAGCCCAGCAGCCTGGACAAGAGGAAAGAGATATTCAGCAAAGACACACTGTTCAAACCTCTGCACAGCACCTTGTCTGTAAACAGCTACCACAAATCCAGCCTGTCCCTCCTCAAAGCGCACCCGAAGGCACCTGCGGACACGCTGGCGGGCCGATGCGAGAAGCTGGAGCCGTCCCTGGGCACCGCAGCCGCGCAGGTCCTGCCGGCCCTCCAGCGCCAACAGGAGCCCGGCGGCAACCAGGAAGCCTCTTTCGACTATTACAACGTGTCTGATGATGACGACTCCGAGGAGGGGGCCAACAAGACCACAGAGGAGGAGAAAAACCGAGACGATGTGGGCACCATGCAGTGGCTCCTTGAAAGGGAGAAGGAGCGAGACCTGCAGAGGAAATTTGAGAAGAACCTCACCCTCCTCGCCCCCAAAGACACAGACAGCAGCGGCCACCAGAGGACCACCCACTCGGCACGCCTGGACAGCATGGACAGCAGCAGCATCACGGTGGACAGTGGATTCAACTCCCCACGGTAGGGAGAGGCGCTGTGCGTGCACACACACCCACCGGGCCGGGCTGGGTGCAGACACCTGGAAAAGGCGTCCGGTTGCACAGCTCGGCTCTGTGACGAGGGTTCGGGTTGGTGCTCTGTGTGGTTAACTGCCTGTCTCTGGCTTCTTTTGCAGGACTTGACACCAGTGTTTCTGCAGCTGTAGAGAGCGCCAATCTGGACGGGTGGGTTGGCTGCCCCCCTCACACTTGCCTCAGTCCAATCTAAGACCAACATTCCCAGTATTTTTTCTTCAATGTTTACGTTGCCCCCGTGCTGGTAAAGAAAGGGTGTTTGTTTTTTTAAGTGCTTCAAAGATTGAGCAGAATGAGTAGTTAGTGGGGGTTGGGAATCAATTGATTGGCTCAAGGACAAGAGTCCCTCTAGTGAGGATATACACTTGACTCTTGAACAACCCGGGTTTGGACTGCCCGGGTCAACTAGGGGCTGCTTTTTTCTTTTTTTAAACATATTTTTATGGATTCCAGAGAGAAAGGGAGAGGGCGAGAGAGACAGAAACATCAGTGATGAAAGAGAATCATTGATTGGCTGCCTTCTGCACGCCCCACACTGGGGATCGCGCCCGCAACCCAGGCATGCGTCCTGACCAGGAATCGAACTGTAGACTTCCTGGTTCATGGGTTGATGCTCAACCACTGAGCCACACCGGCTGGACAAGGGTAGATTTTTTTTCAATAAATACTGTAAATGTATTTTCTCTTCCTTATGACTTTCTTCATGACATTTTCTTTTCTGTAGCTGACTTTATTGTAAGAGTACAGTACATAATACATAAAACATACAAATAAGTGTTAACTGACTGTGTTGCCAGTAATGTTTACAGTTAACAGTAGTTAAGTTTTAGGGGAATCAAAAGTTACACACATATTTTTGACTGTGCAGGTGGGGGAGGGTCAGCACCCCTAACCACGGCATTGTTCAAGGGTCAACTGTAAAAGCAGGTCTCAAAACCTTTCCAGTGGAGGTAGAAGCTTGTTGCCATGGTAACCAGCTGCCTGGTGGCCCTCTCCACCTTCCTCATGCAGCTTCCTCTCACCACTCATGTGCCCACAAAGAGATGGACCTTGTTCCTCCTGCGGAAAGATTGGGGGACTCCGCTCTCTTAGATCAAAATACGTGCCAGCACTGTCCTTCCTCCTCCTGTAGATCTGACACAACCAATCAGGGCCCTCTAGTCACAGTCCCTTGTTCTTAGTAGGTGCTGGGGACTCGGCGAAGGCTGGCAGTTGAGAGTATGTAACGCTCAGTGGTCACATCCAGTGCATTGAAGTGGTTCGGGGGTTCAGAAAGCAAGAGAGTCTACGCAACTTCCTTTTTTTCTGCTTAACTCTCCCTTCTCCTCAAAGGGCAACTCGGGACCTCATTCTCCTAAATTCTACTCCAGATTGGTGACTCTGAGATGCAGAAATACGATGAGAGATGGACATTTCTCACTAGCTGTGATTCCCAAGATTTTATAATATTTATCATTTTAACAAGTATTCAGATATGGTTATTTTCATTATTAACGATGATAATTAGTCCTATTGTGATCATTTCACTGTATCTCTGGGTAATTTGGGGACAGAGCGTCCCAAAATTAGAATTGGGAATCGTTCATCTGTTTGTCACATATCAGGCTGTTGTTTTTTCTTAAAGGACTAGTTCTTGATTATTATTATTATTATTATCATCATCATCATTATTGTCATGTAACCTTCTTTCCAAGTTAACCCGTGTGGCAGTCCAGTATCTAAACAGACCACAGAGCTGGCACTCTGGTTGAAGTGGTGAGAGACCAGGGGTCCCAGGTCTCTGCTGCCGTCCCTTGAAGAGCCCTAAGGGACCTCAAGGAGCTTGACAGTCTGAAAACGACTGGCCTATTAAGTGACTTTTCTACATAATAACTTTTGCTCACTATTTTCCAAATCAAATCTTATTTACCAGTTATTTTGTACATTTTTTTTCTTTCTATTTCTTTCTTCTACTCTCTTTTCTCCTCTTGAATTTCTAGCAGTGGGTACCATGCAGGCATAATTGAAGGTCTGTAATGGGTGGTTGAAGTTCAAGACCATCACTTCCGGAAGGTGTGGTTTACTGGCCTGGACCTTACGTTCTACTCTTTCTTATTAAGACTCTACCCGCCTGATGCTTTTCACACAGCAGTTTCCAACCTTTCACGTTGCCTCTTGATCCCTGGACTGAGGGAAAGCATCAGACCTCCAGAGATACTAAAGGAGACGTTGCGAGTAGCTTAATGGTTCTAACTCAAGAATTTATGAATGAGATTATTTCTTGAAATAAGTTTATTTGCATTTCTCTAAGTGCTTTGTCATGGCAGAAGGTAAAGGTTGTTCTGAGGAGACAATTTCCACAAATTAGCTCTGTGTCTGTCCGTTGTTACTAGGTAGAATTTTCTCTGGAGGCGCAGGGGTCCTCAAACTACGGCCCGCGGGCCACATGCGGCCCGCCGAAAACATTTATCCGGCCCGCCGGGTGTTTTTGCCGCCACTGTGTGCATAGGAATTTGTTCATAGTTTTTTTTTAAACTATAGTCCGGCCCTCTAACGGTCTGAGGGACAGTGAATTGGCCCCCTGTTTAAAAAGTTTGAGGACCCCTGCTGTAGGGATATGTAGCTCACCCATAAGCTTTATGCAGTTAGCACATAGCGGTTCCTTCTTGAATCCCTTTCATATTTAATACGCATTGGTTACAGGCTAGATGACAAACTGGTTTTCTACACCCATTTTTAAACTGTATTTTCTGTACACCTCAGTAAATTCACTGAGCTGCCTTTCTAATGAATGCGTGAGGATAGTCTACAAAGGAGAATATTTGAGTTATAGGGAGTTTTACTCACTAGCGTGAGGAGTATTTTAGCCAAATAGCATTATCATACTGACACCTCCCCAGTGTTGTGAGATACAGAACTCTTACGTGGGCCATTTATTTGGGTCTTTCAGTAAATAATCCACTGAGCAACTAAGATTCAACTGAAAAACAAATTTAAAAACCCCCACAAAAATGGTGATTGCCACATTCAGCTTTCAATCAAGTTCAGCCACATTCCCAGAATTTCTCAGTCCGTTTTCTTAGAAACTTAAAGGGGATTGAGAAGGAAAAAAACATAGAAACTTAAGCTATGCCATAGATCTAATATTGAAAAGGACATTTTTTGACATGAAAAGTCTGCTGTTCTAAATCTGAGCCCCAACCTGGTGGATAAACATAATGGGAAAATCAGAGGCTGCCAGGGATGTGTCTGTCTAATGTACCGTGTGCCGTGTGCCGTGTGCCGTGTGCCGGGGTCCGCACGAAACACGTGTTCCAGGAGGGTGGACGACAGAGCAGAGCGGCTGGGCTCAGGTCTTCTGCCTCTAAACCCGGAGACCTCAAGGCGGCACCATTAACTCTCTTATTTAAAAAGAGCGTTTACATTTGAGGGATATTTTTACTGATAATGCCCCATCTTCATGAACTTGTTCATCATCATATCCTGAGCCCTCGATAGGAATGCCACACACGGAATGCCTCGTTCTAACAGCAACAAGGAAAGGTCTCCTTTGGGGAAACCGGAGGACGGCATGTATTTATCACGATTAATCGGTTGACCGTAGCAAAGAGGCATCTTGGAACACAGACAGCTACCAAGATGGTAGGCAGCCCGTCGCAGTGAGGTGTGTTTGCAGTGCCCGGCACTGTGCCTGGCCTACAGCAGGTACATGTTAAGCCCATGCCTTAAAAGCTGGTTTAAAGTAGGTTTTTTTGAACTTTAAGTATATTTCCTCATAGAAAAGGACCCCCATGGATTCCCAGACCAACTCACACAGTAGCTACTTTATGCATTACATGCTAAATGCAGAACAGAAATCATTTACACTTGTCTAGCTTTGCAGTGTACAGATTCTTCATCGACGCCTGTTTCCTCGTGGTCGCTCTGTGAGAAGGTAAATAACGTAACTCTCCCTGTGTTAAAAGTGAGGACGTTAAATACCTGAGGGAAATATTATCAGGATTAAGGGTGAAGCTGAAGGAACCTGTCATGAAATCTCTGGGGTCTACATGTTTAT